TCTACGTGAATGACCGGGTATAGTGCCGGGGGTGGGGGGAGGGTACATTTAAACCGGGGATTGCCCTTTGAGGCCCGGGAGATGGGGGGGGGGTTGCTCAGCTTTACTTTGTATGCCAACAATATCCTTCTTGAGGAATAAAGATCTGATCATAGCAAGTCATGCTGTAATCATGTACCATCTAGATTACTATAATGAACTCCACATGGAGCTCTAATTTTTCAGAATCAGTATAAAATGCACTACCACATGATGTGTACTTTAAGACCATATAATATCAATTTTTGATCACCTGCACTGTGTTTCAGCTTGTTACCAACTGAAGGAGCTGATTTTTACTTATAGAACCCTAAATAGTTCAGGGCCAGAACAGCTGAAATACTGACTATAATTTGCAGTTGTGAGTGGAGACTCACATCTGTCCCATCATCCAGATATGTTAGGTAGGTAGGAATTCAAGATAAGGATCTTTCTGTTACAGTGTGCATATTATAGCACTGAAGTCAGAATAGCCCTCTTTTTACTGAACTTTGGGCAGGTAGTAAACACAATACTGGTTTTCAGTATAATTTTCTGACATTACGAACATTCTAGTGTGTGATTTTATTTTTATAGTTGTGAATATATTCATGTTGTTTTATTGCTATGCTAGCTTCAGTTCTGTGTACATTGTACAGAAGAGTGATATATACTGTATATCATGTGTGTGTGTGTATACACACATATATATTGTGTATGTGTGTGTATATATATCTGTGTGTGTGCATGTGTGATAAATAAAAGGTAACACACTGCTGTATTATAGCATTCAATCTTCTAGAAATTCCAAGTATGGCATAAGTATGTTATAATAAACAAAGAACACTCTGTACTAAGAGGAAATTTATTCCTGTCAGGGAACTGAATAGAAAATTGTTTTCTTTCCTCCTCCCTTCATTGGAAATCCAGATAAGATTCTCACTCCTCTTTCAGCTATTCAGATTCATTGCAATATTTCTCTTTCTTAATTTCTTCTTTGTGTGACATAGATTTCTGTTTTCTGCTTAAGATGTGAGCTACAAAGCTAATAACCAGCTCCACAATCAAGGCTTTCAGCTTTTCCATCACCCCTGGATATAAGCCGAGAGACACACCCAACAAAATCCAGGTGTGGTTGCCATGAGTTCACCTGGCATAGGCGGGACAGGGCTACCATTAAAGGAATAGCACCCTCAAGGCACTGAGATTTGTTCATACTTTCTTTTGCCACGCTTTGGAGGCTGAGTGCATCAGAGAAAAGAGCTGCCACTGAGTTTAGGTAATGGAGAAAATACTTTTTTCTTATTCTTTTTCTTTCTGCTTGCAATCTGCTTTCTCCTGTTCTTCACTGTGGCTTGACATATCTCACTTTTGGATTTAACCAAATGTGTATCATTTCTCTCCAGTAATGATATAAAATGCAGGTTAACTGAACTGTAATCTGTGGTATCCCTTATTTACAGTAAAGTGTTTGCTTTTGTTGTTTGGTGGGGGAAACAATGGTGATCTTTTGTCATCTGAAATCATCTTTGTGGGGGATGGTTTGAGTTCAGAGGTCTTAAAAAGCATACTAAAATAAATCTCAGCTGAATGTTTCTCCTTAAAGAACACTCAGATTCTGCATTATATGTGCATTACACAAAAGCAGTACATAAACACTGCTTTTACATTTATTAGACCCAGACTTTTCCTGAACATGCAGGTGCCACAAGGGAGTACTTTGTTTCTGGACAGTACTTGTGAAATATCTGGATAATACTGATTGAGGTGCAGAAAAAAGTTAGGCAAGTTTCACTTTGTATGTTAAATGTGCAAAGAGGAATCCTACAAATCACTGGACAAGTGAAGTCCTGATGCCAGTTTTCTCTCTTATAATGGGGTGCTTTAGTATCAGACATTTAGTGAGCATTTCTAGCAATTTGTAGTATCATCCAACCATCACTGTAGCATTATGAAGCCTATATTCATTAGTGATACTGTATGTTGTCAGTCCTAGCAACTGATACAAATTACACAATTTGTGTCTTTTGCACAATGACATCAGGTCTTAGATGATATCACTTCCCCCTTTGTCTTACCACATAGTCATTGACCACCTTACTAAAATAGCAAAGATAGAAATTGGACTTTGTCTTCTGTTTCTTTTAATGCATTGTGCTATTAGAATGTGATCACACCTTTCATTAAAGCGGTGTATGAATTTTTCTTTAATCACAACTTCAAAAATATTTTAGCACCAATTAAAAGATCAGTTAAAAGCAGTGGTAAAATGATGCTATGCAAAGCCATTAGTGGATGGGTACCAATCACTGAATGGTCATGCAGGTGAATTATATCTTCCCTTTCCTTTTCCTTCATCAGCTATCCTGCATCAATAGCAGACTAGTTACCAGGAAGGGAGAATTCATACAAACCTTGGATGATAATGAACAAAGTCTATACACACATGGATAGACTTTGTTCATTATCATCCAAGGTTTGTATGAATTCTATCCCTATAACACAGAATTCAGTTGTTCAATTTGTTCAGTTCTGATTCTAGTGCAATGATTCTCAATCTTAGCAATTTTAAGATATGTGGACTTCCAGAATTCTCCAGCCAGTATTCCCCACCTTTTCAAACCTGGTGATTCTCCAAATATATTACCATGCTGGGAAGTGAAGTTCATCTGGAGGGACCATTTTGGGAAGATTGTGTTGGTACTTCTGTCTTTCCCTTTTTCTCTTGAAACTGGAGCTGCAGAGTCGCCCAGACCCATTTCTCAGAATAGCATGAAAGGGAAGCTGGATTGCAGTGAAGCAATCTTTAATCACCATTAGCTTCCTTTGTGGCTCATCTTGCTGGAGAGGTGTGGCAGTGAAAATGAAGAATGTTAGTTACCACAGCTACCAACATTTGTTTATGTTTTGATAGAAATAATAACTACCTATGTTATCAAGGACATAGTCTAATCATGAGAAGCCTTGGATTTTCATCTACTTGGGAATTCAAAGAATATTGATGTGTTTGTGTAAGTGTAAATGTATGTCTGCCTACCTGCACATAAAGAGAGGCTGAAGTAGATTGATTTGTAAGGTGGCCTTGCCATGACGAAGATGGAGGCTATTGCCTCAGTGGGATAATTTGGGTGATGTAACAGGGTATCAAATTATCATTACTTCATTTGTTTGGCTTGGTCCTTCACTTAAAGGATGTACCATTTGCTGGCCTTCAGCCTGGTATGAATATGAACAAAGAGCCCCTAGATCTGGGAATCTGCATGAAACGTAGGAAAGACAGAGACACTGGCTGCCTATGTGTATCTAGTGGATTCCATTGTGCAATTAAATTAAGAACACGTCATCAGAAGCCTCACAATAAATTTCACCATATCCCCACCTGAAAAAAAGCAATCACTCCACTTTCTTCGCATGAACCACTAAAAGCCAGATAGTCAAACATTACAAGTTGAAGGTAATAGGTAAGAATGTGAACAGGAGGTTTCTAGTTCAAACCTCACCTCAACCCTGATTCTTCTGAAAATTCAGGAAAAGTCTGTTCTTCCAACTCAACCCCCCTATCGCAACATAGAGATAATATTGTCCTATTTTATCAGACTATTGTGGAGGTTGTGGAGATGTTTGTGCAATATAAGCTCCTTGCTGGCATTATGGAAACTGATCCCACCCATTCCCACCATGGCCCAGGAAAGAATATGTGTCTATAGTAGAAATATTCTTCTTCCTGTGGAGCCTCTCCAGAAGATTGAAGACCTGGTAAATCCTTGACTAGAAAAAAGTCCTTGCTGCTATCTTTCCAGCTGCTCTTGCCTTCTACATGCGGGGAGGCAGGGCAAGTACACTCACCCCAGATGTGATCAGAATTTGGCCTCTCTCCATAATGCCTAAAGAGAGTATTATGAATATTAAAAACTGGGTGGCAAAAATGGATTAAGAGAGCTAGCCTCCTATTATTTTACTCTTCCTGTAAAAGTTTTGAAATAATAATTTCATTCCCAAGCATGTTTCCTAACGATTGTACCACTAGCAAAAGGTAAAAAGGTTTACTTAATTACATGCAGCTAATTGTCTGCCCCAATGTCTGAACTATGTACTGATGAAAGATAATGATAGGACGTTTGCCCTGTTGCTTTTTACCTGTACACAACCTGTCCCATCTGCAGAGGAGTTTAGGTGCATGATATATAAATGCACATTCTGTCCCAGAATTCCCAATCAATATGGCTAGGAATTCTGGGAATTATAATGCCAGAGTATGGGGAGGACACCAGATTGATGAAGGCTAGCAAAGGCATTGAGCATAGAATATATAACTCACAACAAACAGAGGGTCTAGCTGACAACAGTTTTCTCCAATCTTGTGCCTTTCAGATATATTGGATTATAGCTCTCATAATCTCCAAATTAGTTTTCCCTTTCCTCCTCCTCCTCCTCCTCCTCCTCCTTTTGCTCCTTCTTAGTCTAGACTGTTAACCTAAAGATAGGGGTTGTCTCCTTTAATAGTGTTTAAATCAGAAGTTATTCTCACAATTTCAGGGGTTCTTAGTCAGAAAACTGGTATTGTATAGACCTTTAGCATGAGCAAAGGTTAGACCAGAATCTCAAAAACAAACTTTCTCCACTTTAATTACCATGATATTAAAAAAAAAATAGTGTACATATCCATGCATTTAAGTGTTCATCAATGCAGGTCTTGTTAGGGATTTTCTGGGCATCTTCTGGGATGCTTGGTCGTTTGGTACAATATAAGTGCTTCTTTATTAACTGGAAAGCCACATTCTTCATGGTGCCAGTCCAACACCTTGACCATTACCCCAGACTGGGTCTTATGGGGTCCCATAAGAAAGAGGGAAAGGTAGATGTCAAGGGTGGTAAGGCCTTCCTTTCCGCAGCAGCCATGACCTAGATGGGGTGAATGCCTAATTAACTGTGCTCTCTCATCTACATATAAAAACCTCACAAACAACCTTTGTATTCCTAACATGAGTTAAACCTACAACTAGTCTTTTCCCTACATTGTTCCTTCTCCCAAGCAGATTTTGGTAAACATCAGGAGATATGTCCCAAGGACAAGAATTATCCACACTGTTTGGAAAAACAGTGGCCTTCTTTGTTAAAGGTATTTTAGTGAGGGCCGCATAGCCAGCTCAGGATGTTTCATTGTGCACTTAGCATGGGGCTGGACTAGATGTCTCCACATTTTCTTCCAAGAGTAACATTCCACAATTTTGTGAAGTTGAAAAACAGCCATTTCCCACCAAAATCATTCTTTCCCCTCCTTTGAATAAGCATTGTCTTCCCTAAGTGCTATCTGCACTGAAAAAAAAGATACAAGAATTTCCCAAGTAATAATCATTTCAGGCCATTCCTCTTGACCCTCGTACATCAAAAACCATTAACCTAGAGTTTATAACGTGCCGACTAATAAACGTAGTCTCCCTCTGAAATCAAGCTTGACTCCTGGACAGATCAATATAGCTTTTTTGGCTCCCATTCAGTCTTCTTCTGGAATATTTTTGACTTCCCAGCCTAGCCTAGAGCCTTGAGATAATCTCCCGTCTAAATACAAACCACATCCAGCCCTACTTAGCTTTTTCAAGAACAGCCAAGGACAGTTAAATGCTGCCATCTCTATTCTATTGCCAGTATCTGATCAAAATTCTCAGACAGTGCAGTCTGTAGCAAGCTATTGCATGCAACTCTGTACATAAAGCAGATGATCAACTGTTGAGGGGCTGGTGGGAGAGGGGCAAGAAGGAATAGATTGGAAAGGAGCAAGTTTAAAAGTTTGGTCATCTTCCCACTACTACCTCACACTCTTGCATGTTTAGCATTACGTATGTAAAAAAGCCTGAAGCTTATGGAAGGCCCTAGAAAGGCAGTGTACACATTAGCTTTTGAGAGTAAGAGAACAAAAAGTTGTTTGTTCATGGCCAATTGTTATATAATTCCTGGGGCATAATGTTCTGGCTACTTCTCAAGACTTTACATTTACCTCTCCCATCAGCATTCAAAGCAGTTAGTCAACTACTGCTAGTCATAACGTGTCTATCAGGAACTTCTCTACCATGTAGGAACTATACCCAGTCTGCCACCAATTTGTCTGCTTCTGAAGGATGTGCTTAGGTACTGTAGCTGATATAAAAACCTAAAATATGTTCAGTAGATTTCTGTGAAGTTATAATGAGGATATGAGAAAGATCAAGAGGACAAAGCAAAATAAGAAATAATGTATACTATGGAAATTCATCTTGGTAATTGTGACCAGTTGTGCTTCTGAATTTGTATATTGACTCAACTGCCTTTTTTTCCTGTCCTGCTTCTTCATTTCTAAAAATTGTTCTTTCCTTCTGTGTGTTTTATTTTATAAGCCTTCTTTACCTACTTTTTGCTTACATGACTATTACACAAACTCTGACAGTTTAGAGTTTAAACTTTGTATCTATAGCAGGAATTGCCTTAATTCCTCTTAATTCCTACCCCTTGCCTTTCTGGATTTCCATGGGTTTTGATAACCAATGTTGCTGAATGTCTTTGAGATGCAGCTATTCCATTGACTAAAGACAATTCCCCTGTGAAGTTAAGTGATATGTTAATAATTAAGGGATTTTTTTTTTGTCTATTATAAAGCAAAACAACTGCTTGCTTCCTTATTTCTATGCCACCCACTCTCTTAGGAGTTTACACAGACACAATAAAACAACTATAAAAACAAGTTTTAAAACATGATGATATAAAGCAGCACCATTTAAAAGCCCAAGTAAATATATTTTGAGCATTTGTCTTATTCTGTGTAATTTATTGAGAATTTCTTTTTTTATTTCTTCCTAAACTCTAACTTCTCCTATGTGTATACTTTTAGTCAGTGACCATAATGTTGAACTCCAACAGCAATAAATCATAATATTGGCCATGATATGAATAAAGTAGAATTTATCACTGATGATCAATGTTTTCATGGCAGGACCTGCAAGCAATGACATGCCTCACCTAACAGATGGACCATAGAGGAGCAGGCAGTCCCCTAAATAACTTGGGTCTAAGCCGTATAAGGCTTTATGCAGCATTGTGAGCACCCTGAATTGATTGGAAGGCAGCTAATTATGAATGAAGCCATTTCAATACAGGGGTAATGTAGGACTCTGAAGAAGCACCATTTATCACATGTAATGCAGTGTTGTAGGCCAGCTGCAATTTCCAGAGTAACTTCAAGTGCCAACCTATGAAGAGCCATAGGTTGCCATAGCCCCATCCTACAAATAGCAGTGCATGACTTCCTAGAGCCAGGTCTCTCTCTTTCAGGTACAGACATCTGAAAGCTGGTAAAAGGTACTTTTGCCATTGAAATTATGTGACTGTCCATAACAGCTCTGGATCCAGGAGGTTCTCTGGCCTGCAAGCCTGTTCCATAAAGGGAATTACAACCCCCTACTGAGCAGCTTTATCTTCCAAATTGCATCCAGTTCCCAGAGTCAATCATAATTTTGTCTTATCTGAGTTCAGATTCACCTACAACTAATTTTCCTGTGTCAGTCCTTTCCTGCTGAAGTTATTCAGTGACTCAGAAGATATCCAAAACTGAGCTCATGGGACAATTTCAGGGCAGTCATTCAAAAACTAAAACAACATGAATTAAAATACAATTAAAATACAATTAAAAGTCACTTTAAAGGCTTGGGAAAATAGGAGGTTCTTCACCTGGTGCTGAAATGATGCCAATGTGGGTGCCAGTTGAGCCTCTCTGGGGAGGGAATTCCATAAATGGGTTACCACCAGAGAAAAAGTTCTCCCCCTTGTAAAGGCCCACCTCACCTCCCTTAGTGAGGGAATCTGGAGAAGGGCCTCATTAGATGATCTTAAGGTCCAGGTAGGAACATACAGGAGGAGGCGTTTCTTCAGGTATCCTGGTCCTAAGCTGTTTATGGCTTTAAAGGTCAAAACCAGCATTTCGAACTGGGTCTGGAAATGAACTAGCAGCCAGTGTAGGAGACGAACTAACATAATATGTTCATATCTGCTAGTCCCAGTGAGCAGTCTAGCTGCTGTATTCTGAACTATTTTCAAAAGCAGCCCCACGTACAGCACATTGCAATAATCCAACTGGGAAGTTACAAGAGCATGAATAACTGTTGCGAGTCTGCCTCCGTCGAGATAAGGTTGCAGTAAGTAAATCAACCAAAGCTGATAAAAGACACTTGGTGCCACCAAGATCACCTGGGTCTCTAGTGACAATGATGGATCTAGGAGCACCCTCAAAACTGCAAAACTGCTCCTTTCAAGCAAGTGCAGACTCCTCTGGGACCAGCAGGATACCACTTAGCTGGACAGTTGTATCACCCATGAACAGTACCTCCATCTTGCCTGGGTTGAACTTCACTACCACAACCTTGGTATGGATGATAGAGTCCTGGCAGTCATCTCAGAACTGTTAGAGAGTTTGCTTATAGTGCAACAACAGTGAGAGATCCTCCCTTTAAATCTCTGCACAAAAGGCAGAACTAGACGTTAAATGAGTTTTTAAAAATCCCAAAAGCAGGCACATAATGGAATATTGTTCCATTTCCAAAATTCCCAAAACTGTGTGGGGAGGGGGAGAGAGAAGTTTAACACCTTCTTTTTTTTTTTCCTGTACTGCAGCACTGATTAAAAGTAACCATCTAAATCCATTTTGGCAGGAAATGCATTGCTGCAAATGGTTCCGATCCTTAGATTTATTGTCTGTGAACACAACATTTTTATTTCCCCCTCCCTTGTTCTCTGAGACTAAAGGGCATATCTTTCTTTCTTTTTTTTAAGGTCGTTATGCACATGAGACTTCTCCATAGATGAATCAGGACCCAACCAAAATTTACAGGTATTGGCAAAATTGGAATCTGACACAACATAAAGACAGGAAGACTTAATAGCTGCAGGATGTCAAAGGTCATCCCAAACCATGTGATACGGGTTGGGCAGACAGTGTGTGTTTCACCCAAGGAAGAACATACCTGTTTACAGCACCCAAATGATGGTTTGTCCTGTCACACCTTGCCAATGCAGTGTTTTTATTATACAGTGGAAGGCTGGGATAGGAAGAACTTGTTGGCTGAAACCCAAGGATATTCATTGCCTAAGAAATCTGTTAAATCTACTGAAATAGCCACATCTGTGTCCTCTCAACATTGTGAGGACAAATGTCAGCAGGAGGAACCAATGGAGCCACGTGAGGACAGCTATCCAGTCTCTCCTACTTTGGATATATCTATTGAGAATTTGAACCGCTTGATCTTGGAAATTGACCCGACTTTCAAGCCACTCCAACAGCCAGCCCAGGCAGAGAGTCCCCTCCAAGCTGTTCCACAAAGCAACACCAGGGTGATAGCAAAGCATGAACTAGATTCATCAGGTAAGGTATGAAATCCCTCAAGCCATAGGGGATCACTCTAAAGGTAATTCTTTTTCCTATCATCTGGAGATTTTAGGCCTACAGTGTTGAAATTGAGTACAGAGAATTCAGAAAGCTACTCCCCTTTTGCTTAAGCCCTGAAAATTTATATGAACAATCAAGATCAGTTTCTGGGGGTTGGGGGAAGCCTCAGAAACACTGCAATGAATTTGCCACTTTTCTCATTAAAAAAAAATGTGCGTGCAAATGATCCTGCAACAAAGGGTGATCTCAGGCAGGGGCTCTTAGATGCCTCTAATCAAAAAACATCAAAGCAGATTTGTCTCTTCCTTCTTAATGGATTTTGTCTGAAAAGGAAAATTATGAAAGCAGCGGGGGGGGGGAGTGTTACAAATTGAGACTTTGTTGCTTTGGCAACAAACATTGAATTCTATGGCTTAGGCCTGGCAATCAATATAGTAAAAGCTATATTTCTACCAAAGACTGTGTTTGAAGGACTCAAACTCTGCTACCCTTCCTCCAGTCACTCAACAAGACACAGGATGGCTGGTCAGTCATGTGCTGGCAATCTTATAGTCCATCACCTGCCACAATGAAGTCTGGGTGGCTATCAGTTCCCTGGCTATACCTGCCTTTTTAATTATTTTCCCATGGAAGTGGAGGGGATCTGCAGTGGCATTTTTAGGGTTCCCACAATTACTCTGGACAGAGTTGGGAAAGGAGTCCCTTTGTTGCCTTTTCACACTCCCATGTGACCATAAAAAGGGAGGTGGGTCAACATTTCAAAATACTAGCAGCAACCATGTGATCCAAGCCCCAACCTCTTTGTGGGTGTCATGCCTGTGAAGCGTGTAAAAAACCTCAAGGCTTCAATCTTGCAGTCACAGCCATCATCTTGACTTTTTTACCTTCCTTGCAGATGTCCCTGATAGCAGGGGGTGAAATCTACTAAGGAGACAAAAACAAGAGTCACTTTTTTAGATGTTAGCTCTGTCTTGGGAGTAAAGATCAGCTTAACCCCAGTAAAGGACTTGGCCCAACAAGGGAGGAGTTGGTATACTGGGGAGTTAGTTAAAATCCAGACAAACCCAGGGCTGTTTGGGGCTAAATTTAATTCCCTCTGGGTTGCCTAAGCAGGACTTTTGTGGAGGTTAGAGAGTTCACATGACATGTTCACATGACACAACACACCCCTGCCACATGACCCAGTCAAGTATTTGTGCAAACAGGGCCAGTATGTCCCTATTAATGTGACTCTCTCACAAAAATAGCCCAAGCAAATCTGCAAATCTTCACCAGGTGGTACCATCCAAACCCTGTTCTGCTTCTGATGTTTCTGAGAGCTAGATCTATGGTACATCCTCATTTGGTTTGCTGTTATAATTGTTCTGTCTTACACACCAGAGTGATTTGATTGAATGCCAATGGATTAGATCTGCCAGTTTCTTTGTGTCTTCCCCTGTGGGCTTGGCTGGTCCTAAGGGCTTGTTCAGACCAATCTTCTTACTCATTCTGAAACCCCAGTGATGCCTTACAGTGTTCAAAGTGGCAACTGCCAACGCCAGCAAAGAATTAACTCCTAACCACCTTTACCACCTGTGCACGCACATACTGACACATATATTTGAAGTGGAATAATCTCATAGGTTAGGAAACTCCCCACTCCACACAAGATTTCTGGGTTTGCAGATACAGATATTCCATTACTTTATCTAAAAAAATGGAATTTAGCTAATAAATGTTTCAGCTCACATGAGCAGATTTCCTGTTGTTATTCTAGAATGGGCTTCACAGTGCTCCAGAAAAACAATCCAGAAAGTGTCACATATTCTATGGCTCGTGACTGAACCATTAGAATTTCATCCAAGTTTGATCATCCTCAGAGTAAGCTCACCGAAAACAATAAATTGGCTTTTACAAATAATTGATTTGTGGAATTGCACTAAATATGAGTTTCTCCTAAAGTTCAACTAAATTCTACCATTGTTGTAGATCATAGTAACATTTAAGAATTTACCCAGGATCAGACAAATAGTCCAGCTACTGGAATGGCCCAACATACAGTTGCCAATAACGGTACACCAGATACTCCCAAGAAGCCACAAGCAAGGATGTGAAGGCAATACAATTCCAGCTGAAGCACATCTCACATATTGTACTCTTAGTATGATAGTTACTGCTTCCTGTTTGTGACCAGTAGCTGTTGATACTCATAACCTTATTTTTTAAAAATTCAAATGCAGCCTTCCCCAGTGTAGTACAGTATCCTCCAAATGTACTGAACTGTACCATCCAGCATCCTGTAGGCAGAATGGCCATATTGCTTTGAAATTATGAGAGTTGTAATCCAATATATTTAGAGAGCACCAGGTTGGGTCTAATCTTATATAACAAAAAACATATCTTACTAGGATACGGAATGCATTCATCTTAGCAAACCTTCATTTTTGCCTGCCCCCTACTGGATATTAATTATATCCATGAATGAATCACCAAGTCCTAGTATGCAGGAGAAAGTAAACTATCTCTTGATGTACTTGTTTTCCCAGTGCCCCTTTTAGTCACCTTCTTTTCTTAAAAGGCCCCTAATTCAAGGGCTTCTCATATAGGAAGCGTCTCTTCTTTGTTCAGCCTTCCAATTTAGCACCCTCCAGGTGTGTTAAGCAACTGCCATCGTTCACAGCCAAGTCCTCTAACATGTGTGAAAGGCATCTGGTTGGTCATTGTTTCTGTCCATTTCCCTGAAATGGTTTGGAGGACTTGGAATTAAAAACATCTTTGTTGTAGAAAGCCAAGCTGTATTGTTTAAGCAGCAGAGTCCAAGGCAGGATGCTCCTCCCTTTATCAAGTTGCAAGAGGCTACCATTTTTTTTATTTGGCCAGCATAGGAAACTATTGTTGCACAGGTCTAAAAAGTCACTGTCGTATGGAGCAATCAAATCCTCAGTAACTGTAAAGTTTCCACATCTGCTTTGGCTCAGCAAAATTGGTTTCCAGTTATTCTCTGGCTGCAGATGACTGCAATTCTCATTCCAGTTGAATAGACCAGGCAGACATTTTTCAGCCTATTGATCCCCACCAGTAGCCAAATCATACTAAATCCTTAAGGCAAGGCAGGAAGATCAGCATGACTCATAATGTCATGCTAGAGTTTGTACTTTGGCATGGCTTTTGGAATGCAAAATGCCCGTGGATGGCATCATTTGCTAAGGGTGTGCACTTCTTATAAAGTTGGCCTGCACTACAGATATATGCAGTGAACACCAAGAAAGGATCACATATGCTCACAGCCACTTCTTTATAGGTGTTTCAGGCAATATATGTACATACTGTTATAAAAGATGAACTTAGGACTCTGTTCTTGAGAATCCTGACTGACATATAAAACAGATAAACTTTAACTGATAAATGTCTTCGCAGGCTTTTGAAAACCATACGTTTCAAAGCTCCCTTAAAACAAACTGTCCTTCTAGGTCAGTATTTACGTACAGTGATAGCAGTTGGCCAGATTTCAGGCAGCAATATTTGCCACTCTAATCTGCAGTTGCTAGGGATTAATCTTGATTGTTTGCATATAAAGTATGTTATCTACCACTGAGCTATGGTTCTTCTTATGATTCATGGGTGCTAAGTAAGAAAGGAAAGAAAAGGGATGATATGGTCATGTGTTCTAACTGAATTACAGGTCATTTGTCCCTTGAAAAAAATCAGTAATGTCTCTTTCTTGACCAAGGTGTGTAAAACCCACTTGGGGGCATTTTGAATTAGAACTCCTCACAGGGAAAAAGTTATATGCCTCTCATTTTTCTCTTTCTATTCCTCTTTTAAAATCATAGCCATATAAAAGTATCTTATATACATATTACATATATGTAGTATAGTGTAAATTTTAAAATGCAATCTGTCTCTAGAACGGGATGTCTTGCAATGTGAGATTTAAATAAAAAAGCTTCTTTGAATGATTTTGCAAACAAATGTTGGTCCTTTTTGAATCCGGATTGTCTTTATCTCTTTTAAAACCAAATGTTGGGGAAAGTGTTGGCAGTATCAGTAGTAATATAAATCCACCTTGCTGCTTTGAAATGTATGGTCCGTGTTAGAAAAAGAAATTGAATGCATATTTACTGTGTGTGTAATACATATTGGTAAAGGTCAGCATGAGATCATTGCTTGGATGGAGTCAAAACAGCACAGAGAGACTGCCTTGTGCAATCTCCTTTTACTTGCATCTGATGTGTTCCTTGGGAGTAACCAGATGTTTTTCATTTGGTGTCAGAACAGGCAGGAAAGGAGAACAACTGAAGGTTACATCTCCACCCTTTTATACAGGTGCCAACAAGTAATGGACTCATTGACATGATGCTTGCTTGGATGACTCTACAAAGCACGTTTGTTGGCAGGGCTCTTTGACTTCCAAATCTGGCTGGAAGGTTATCTGTACCTGGAAAAAAGAAGTGCTTGGGAACTGTGTTCATTGACCTATATAGTCTGCCCTTTAGTTCCAGGCATTCTTGTGCAGGAATGAATGACCAATCATGAGCATATAAGATTGCCTCACATTGAATCAGACTATTGATGTATCTACATTTACCAGCTTTATGCCCTCCACTAATGACTGTTCTTTGGGAAAAAGGCAGGATATACAGTAACTTAAAATAAGTACTAGTGATGACAATAATATGGTGCAATTACAACTCCCAGAATTTCTAGCCAAATTTCCAACATGTTTGGAAGGTAATAAATTATGGAAGGCTGAAGTGATGAAACTGGAACCCTCTAGATGCAGCTGAACCTTAAACTCTGCTAGTCTGACCAAATGTCAATTATGATGTGTGTAATCCAGAAATTGAGCATGAAACTGAGCAAACTCAGGGAGGCAGTGAAGGACAGGAAGGCCTGGCGCAATATGGTTCATGGGGTCACGAAGAGTCGGACACGACTTAACGACTAAACAACAACAACAAATCCAGAAATCTCTGTAAAGTTATAGCTTCCCTATTTCTTGGTTTATCTTCAGTAGGCAACCTGGTATCCTCCAGTTGCTTTGCCCCCCCCCCCACGCCCCCCGCAGTTCCACCCAGCATGGTCAATGACACAGGATGATGATAGTTGAAACACAGAACATTTATTTATTATGACATTTTTAACCATATATATATAGCCAACTCAAAGTGGCAAACATACCTAATACTCCTGCCTCTTAGTGTCCTATTTTCTTCTTGGATACTAACATTT